GCTCGTTAGCTGCTGCTTGATGCGGAGTTATGTAAAAACACGTTTCAGCTCCTGAAAAAGTCCAAAAATAACACGGAATACCAACGGCTGCCCACTTCCATCTCTTTTTGTCCTCCTCTCTACTTTTGTTCCAAACTCCGTCCATTCCTGATGATTATGTGTCTGTTATTCACCCATTCTCTTCGAGTGTCACTGTTTAATTGGACGTCCCCCCCCTCCTCCCCCGTCCCCCATGGGAAAGTATGCAGACACATTTTGATTTGATTATGGCTCACAAACCAAACTATGCTTCGCTGCATTCCTGCTCCAGCAAACAGATGATCTGAGGAGAAGTGGGCAGGGTGGAAGGTTTGGTTCCAGCTGCAGTCCCTGTTGKTTCAGATCTTCCTCCATGTGTTCAACCTGCAGTGTTTCAGGCTGTTGCAGGTTGTTTTCAGACAGACTCAGCTCTCAGTACCGCCACACAGTTAATGAATCAATCAAATCAGCTGCACAGACGCCCTCTACAGGTTCTACACATCCAAAACACTGCAGCTCTGCCACTGCCGAACAGAACCACATGAACAACTCTTGTTGCTGATTTTACATGTAGTAGAGATGAACAGCAACTCAACCCAAACCAGAGCTCAGAGGACAAACAGTAAGCTGTGAGACGATGTTGAACTGCACTCAAAAAGAGAAGTGAAGCTTGTTTTAGAACCGTTCACAGGTCAGATTTAATAAGAAAACTAGACAAGTTAACTTTAAGACTTTTAAATGAGTCACAACAGAATAAAAACAGTTATTTTAATGGTGCGTTAAATTTATTGTAAGCAGCTAACCAAGCAACCAACCATTCATTCATTAATTCATTCATTCATTCATTCATTCATTCAACCAACCAACAATCCAATCAAACAACCAACCAACCAACCAACAATCCAAACAACCAACCAATAATCCAACCAAACAATAATCCAACCAACCAACCAACCAACCAACCAACCAACCAACTCCTGTCCTTTTACATCCTGTAGTTTCGATCAGCTCTGTAGTTCTCAAAATGGACACCAGCTATCTTCTCCATTCCTCTGAGGTTTTCTCACTTTTAGAAATGTAATTGAATAATTGAGTCAAAAACCTGACTCCTATACATTTTCATATCTCCACTGGTCTGTCATCAGGTCAAACTGCCTTCACCTTCTTAATTCTCAATAAACTYTTTCCCAGCATGCATCACAGTAATGGCTTCTAAATGCTTTGATTAACAGACCTTGTTTCACTGCTTCATCAAWCTAAACAATTATTGATCTAAACATTTAGAAAGCAGGTGGGAATGAAGAATTTGCTCATGAGCTCTGCCACATGTAGAGGGAACCAGGACAGCAAAGAAGATGGGATGGAACAGAAGAAAGAAAAAGCCAAAAAAAATAAAAAGAAAGTTACATAAAAATGAAACAAACTTTTAAAACACTGAAGGACAGGAAACAAGAAAGATGAAAGTCGAGAAAAAGGCTGAAAAAATAAGAAAAAATTATGAAAGAAAAAAACACAAAATGAACAAAAAAAGGAAACAAAGTTTCCTCTTTTCTCTGAGCACAAATAAAAAAGAATCACAACAAGGAGGCTCGTCATCTCAGAGTGACTCATCCCGTCTGTGTCCTGGAACAACCTCCCAACAACTCTGGGAATCTGGGAGACACTTGGACACAAAGACAAACATCTGCTGAACCTGCAAACGGCATATCCAACAAACACACCAGGTCCAAATGAAAACCTCTACATCCACTGTATTTTACACAAGTCTGGACTGAATACTATGCTTAGTTAAAAACAAATATGTAACATGTGAACTAACAGCTCCTCTGAGTACAAAACAACTTCAGCTGCTGTTTAAAAACCAGTAAAGCTTTAAAATCATTGAAAGCTAATCCAGACGGTCTTGAAACATTGTCTAGAACCTGCAGGAACGTCAGCGGAAGCTTGAATGATCCACTTCTTCTGACGATCTGTCAGATCTGACACAAGTACACAGTTTCCCTCCACCGGTCTGAGACTGTTGGACCATTGGACAGTTGGATTGTAGGACTTCTGGGCAGTTAGATTGTTGGGTAGTGGGACTGAGGGGCCTATTGAAACCGTCACATTGAAGTGTCTGTCTGAACTGACTGTTGGGACTATTGAACTGTTTGAAATGTCTGACTGTTAGAATGTTTGGACTGTTGGAAGTTTTGGAACTGTTGAAACATATGGACTTTTGGAAATACTGGACTGTTGGGACTTTTGGACTGTTAGGACTATTGTACTATTGGAACTGTTGGGACTGTTGGGACTGTTGGGACTGTTGGGCTGTTGGAACTATTGGACTGTTGGAACTATTGGATTGTTGGGACTATTGGATTGTTGGGACTATTGGATTGTTGGGACTATTGGATTGTTGGGACTATTG